GAGAGAGAGAGAGAGAGAGAGAGAGAGAGAGAGAGAGAGAGAGAGAACATGAATACAGGGATTTGGCCACATGGCCCCAAGATCTTTACCATGATTAGTGATCAAACACTGATTAGTGTTGACATTAATAGGAAAGTACTGGAATTTTCCAGGTCAATGTAGAGAACAGAAGGGAAATATGGTCAGCTCGAACAACAACATTTTCTTCCTTTCCACTGTGCTGAGAATAGAATCTGGGGCCTTGTGTGTGCTATGCAAAAGTTCTAGAATTGTGTTGTATCTCTGGCCCTAAATCTTTTCTTCTAAAAGTAGTAATCCATCTCAGCAGTATTCCCATTCTTCCCGGACTCAACTCTTCTTTTCCCCAGCCTCTCCTCTAACCTCCATTTCCAATGACCACACCTCCTCCAGTTTACACCCCACCACCTTCTACCCTGGGTGCTTGCTCTGCTCGCAGGGAACAAATCAAGTACACCAAGGCATGTTGGACTCTTGTCACAATGACCGTGATGTGCCCCTCTAGAATAGGCTTTGAATGCCGGCAACTGCATCTCTTTTCATCTTAAGGGCCAGAACAGCATCGACACTGCTTAGTTTTTGCTAATGATACAAGCTGGAGTCACGTGAGAAGTGGGAATTTCAATTGAGAAAATGCCCCTATCATATTGGTCTATGGGTGTAGCTGTGAGGCATTTTCTTGATTGATGTGGGAGAACCCAGCCCACTATGAACAGTGCATCCCAGGGCAGGTGGGCAAAGCAGAGGAGCAAGTCAGTAAACAGCATTCCTTCATCTCTGAGTCAGTTTCTGTCTCTAGGTTCCTGCCTTGAGCTCCTGCCCTGGACTTCTCGCTAATGGACTGCAACCTGTAAGTCAAACAAACACTTTCCTTCCCAAGCTGGTTTCGTCATAGCAACAGAAACCAAACTCGAATAGCATCGTTTATTCTTGGGAGATGCGGGCCAGAGATCCCCGGATGAGCAGTAGATCTTTACTAAATGCAGAGTTATATGAAAGGCACATAATTCTGAGAAAGAACCCAAGAGCAGACATGTTTACTATTTAACTCTTATACAAGGAAATATTGATAAGACCCAGCAGGTGTGTTATAATCTGGTCAGACCTCCAGAGCAAAGGAGGAAAGGAGAGATCTGGGGCCCAGTAGCTTAGCTGCCTCAAGAGTTGCGTGTGTGCGATGCGTGACTCTACATCGAAGCTTTGTTTTGGCTTCTGCACAAAGGGTTCAGCATCAGGACTCCCACTCGGGGCTAACGGAAGCATCAAATGAGTCAGCCAATTACAGAGGACCTGGCATATAAACTGGCGATGCTAACCACTGTGGGCAGAGCTCTCCACCCTCTGGTTTGAAGCCCTTCCTTATATAAACATGACTTCTAATTTTTGTCTCGGTTTCACACTACTGATGCCTTTTCAGCTGAAACAACCTGTACCAGCTTGTTATGTAAAGCACTTCCTCCTGACCTTCTGAACACTACATGGCAGGAGATTCTGGCTCCCCCTCCTACTTTAAAATTGAGTTAAACCATCATACTCTCCTCTGACCCTGCAAACTTATGGAGATTATAGAAGAGTTATTTAATACACACACACACACACACACACACACACACACACACACACACACACATATATATGCGTTATTCTTTTCCTATAAAATTCTTAATCACTTGTGGCTGGATTTCTCCTGATTCATTAATTCAACATTCAAGTAAAGAAAACAAACCACAAATCTATCCTGAGCAGGCCAGCAATTGTGTTTTATAGTTCAACACCTTTTGCTGACCAGTCTAGAAGTCACAAGCATATGTTACCTTGGCGAAGTCCAGCTTCCTCTCTGTAACATCAGCCTGGAGAATTTTAAAGGCGATTTGATCATTTGTACTATAGCGCGTGTCCAGTAATCCTAGACAAAAGGAGACGACACAGCTACTTTTAGTGCACAGAAAGATAAAAAAGAACGTGTAACTTCCATTTTACTATAAAATTTAATGGCCCCCACTCACATAATGTACCAACCAATTGTAGCTCAAGTATATTATGAGCCATGACAAGACCCATGTTTTTTTCCCTTGTCTGTTCCAGCCACTTCTGCTCTCAGAGTTCATTATTATTGATTCGGCTACAAGTATCCTTCCCCATACAGTTGTTCCTGTTCTTTAGATTCAGTAAGTGCTTGACCAGATGTGGCTCTAATCATGTTTCCATTTTCCCAAGTTCACACTCAGAGAGAGAAAACCACATTTCTACATTTCCTGGCATCTCTAGCATCAAGGCATAAATACAAGACTGACTTTGGCCAGCTTCTCGATGCAACCGTTATTGAATGGACAGTGGGTGACCGGGTACTGACGGCCAAGCCGCTTTAGAGAGTGTGAAGATATTTGGGGGATGACGTAAGGGGATTTTGCTATAAAGACAACTAAGGCTTTGGTCAGGCCTGAATATAGAGAAAGATAGACACATGGACAAGACCTCTCTTGGCTTAAGCTTCCTGATGGACGGAACCTGCCCTGTCTGACTCTTAGAACTCCAAGCAAAGGTGCTTTTAGGAAAAGCATCTTTGGATAAAAGCAAGGAGCATCTTTAAGCCAACCTGGGTCCTGAGACATGCTTACCCGTGGGTCCACAGTGACAGTGACCCCGAGATTTCTCACAGTAATATTTGCCAGGATGTTCCTACAGAAATGTGAGTTAGACATAGGAAGGCCTGGCTGGGAGGAGTCTGTGCAAAAATAGCCAGAGATCTAGTCTCTTCAGACCAGGGGCAAGACATGCTCTCCCCAAGACCACGTTCTGTAGATTGTGATTTTTCAAAACACTACGATGGATGATACTGATCCTAGAGATTAAAACTGTCAAAAACAGGCTCTAAATTTAACATGCTATGTCAGAGTCCTAGAATATGGTGACATCAGGGTGGGGGTGAAGACTCCATCTCCAGCACCATAAAAAGATTCCCTTCGTCTTTAGATAGAGGCTAAAACATTATTCAGAGAAAAACATCATATATCACAGCACTGTCAAGTTTGGCAGATTTGTGAAGGGGCCAGGATTTGACTCTGGGGGTTTCCAAGGGTCACCTCTAACCCACCCAAAGCCTACCTCCTTCATATCCTGTCTTTGAGTGACAATAAACTTCTGTCATGTCCTGACTTGGGCTCTGGCTCCATCTATGACTCACTGAATGACAACGGGTCATTCAAGGTGATGTGCACTGATTACTTTCTGTGAAGCACTAATATCAGACCTGAGGGGCTTGGCCGGCTCCTGTGCAATGCTGATGCTTCGTGATGATCTGACAGTGAGACTGATGGAGACAGAAGTCCCCTGGCCTGCTTGTGTAGCATGGCATGGGAGTGAGGACTTTAGAATAAGCAGTCTTGGGGACTCGATGGGTTTTCATCTGCTCTGCTTTGGCCCTAGCTGGCCCTCAGTGTATCAGCTGTGGACTCTGCCTTCATCCATAAATGCAGACAATGGTACCGCCTACAGAACCACAGGCCTTGCCCTCACTGCCCTGGGAGATCTTCATCAAAGCACTTTGGTAAGGGTGGGGTATCAGGTAAATATGCCATAAGTGGTTGGGGGTGCTACTGTTAGAGCACAGGCCCAGGTGGCTCCTGCCAAAGTCCAGTATCGCTAACGTGGTAGTACCAGTGGTCACACAGACACTAACATTGAACCACAGAGACCCAGGGCTTGAGTTCCAGGTCTGGGTCCATGGATAACTTTGAGCACACTGCTTGGCATACGCTGGTTCCTCCCTGTGTTATAGAGAATACAGAGGTGGCTACTTCACAGGGTTACTGGGATAATTTGAGTGGTACAACTAAGTTGATCTCAGTGCAATGTGCAGAAAATAATAGTATGTCCTAATAAGCACTCGCTATTGGGAAGAGCCTCACTTCTAGTGGGGGAAAGGGAAGGCTGCTGGGATTGGGAAGCATGAGTGATTGAGTACATTTGAGTTTCCTATGCCTGCTGTAACAACTGGCCACAAGACAAATGCATCCTCTACAGCTGTGGAGGTCAAGTTCAACACTGGGCTAACGTCAAATGAGCAGCCCAGCACTTCCTTCTGAAGGTGCTAGGGGGGAATTGCTTTCCTGGACTTTTCTTGTTGTTAGACACTGTCCATGTTTCTTAACCCGTGCCTGCCTCTCTCCAGCCTCTGCTCTTCCTGCTCTCCCTTCTCCTTGACTCTTCCCTACTGTTTTGCTTGAACAAGGATTCCTGAACTAGAGGGAGGCCCCCTGGACAATCCAAGGTAATGTCTTCATCTCAAGAATGGATCAGAACATGGGCTTATTTGGGGCATCATATTTCTTGTACTATAATAATTGAGAAGATTCAGGTAGAGAGACTGAAGAACCTTCAAATATGAACATTAAGTCTATGTAACAACATAGGAAAAACATAATGACACACTATGGAAAGGAACCAAAAACCTATGGAGCATGTGGCTGTGACATTAATACCATGTATGAGGCAATCTACAAAAACTGTAAAATGACTCATGGGAAAATGGCCTTAGGTGAAAAGAACTGCCCTAGGTTGTAGGGCCTGACCAACTGAAGGATTCAGGTCAGTTACAATTTGTATCTGAAGACTCATTTACAGTTGAGGTAGCAATTATAGTCACGTGGCTATACATACCTTTTTTTGCCTCACTATTTCTGTTTTCTCCATCTACAAAGTAAGAACATGAAACTAATGCTTTTGAGCCCTCATTGACCCTTTGCTGGATTGCTACCCCATCCCTTTGCTGGATTGCTATCCCATCCCTTTGCTGGATTGCTACCCCATCCCTTTGCTGGATTTCTACCCCATCCCTTTGCTGGATTGCTACACTATCCCTTTGCTGGATTGCTACCCCATCCCTTTGCTGGATTGCTACACTATCCCTTTGCTAGATTGCTACTCCATCCCTTTGCTGTTAGTAACTTGCTGTCAATAATGCAGAGCCCCTTTCTTTCTTGAGCATAATTCTTCACATTGGATCATAACTACTGTGATTATGATATAAAAAGCCATGACAGAACATTGACAAAAGGCCAAAGTTAACTTTGGACAACATCTTCACTCAGGTCCCCCTCTACTGAGTACCCTTCACTGACCCATGGATCATCTCTTAAAGAACACTCTATCTATTCTTGATGCCCTCAAACCTCTGCCTCAGGTCTTTGGTTCTTGGAGGGAAAAGCTATGGTGGCTAACCATTCCTCTTTTCTACCCCATAGCAGAATCTCTCCAAGTGCGCTCCTTCAGCAACAAGGCCAATATTAGATGAATTGATAATAGACATCTGTTCTGGTGGTACCACCCCCCAGATCTACCTAATGAGGATCCCATTGGGAAGCTTAGATATCCACCCATGCTTCAACCAGTGTTTCAGCACACTTGAAGCAGCTCAAGTCCCACATAGTCTAAGACTAATAACCTCCCTTATAGATGTTAAATTGATGACTAAGAAGGGAGCCATGATGTTTTGATTTAAAAATACCTTGCGACTTGCAAGGATCTGGGTCCCACCTCTAAGCAAAGGAATCAGAGGAGGCTTTAATTAATATAAACCTAATGCAATGCTAGCCAACTGATATATATGATGCAACTGGTTAAAATCATTCAAATGATCCAATGATCCACAGTCACCCTTGCTGGTGTATGTATCAAGTCAAGATGACTATGAAGATCATCATAGGAGAATTTTAAACAGAAAAATGGAAAGGGGTGGGGAGAAAGTTGAACAAGCAAGCAGATGACAAAGCAGGGGGCACATGGAGCAAGGTAAAGAATGAAAAGAGACAAGAGCTAGTCACACTCTGATGACTCGTAGGATGTACATACAGAGTGATAAATTCCCACGCATTGGCCAACACAGCTTCAGCTGTCCCGAAGAACAGCAACAAGAGCCACCGTGTATTGCCTAATGAATCAATCCATCAATGCCACATGCAAACAGGAAGTGTATGGATTCTGGGTGTGTGCCTGAGTGCACTTCCTTCTGCATCTAAGTCACTGTGTCAGAGGCAAGGTACACTCAGTCTCCTCTCCTTCTACTGGGGGTTTTTGTAGAAAGGCATTTCTAATCTGACAGGAGTCAGAGGGTACTCTTGATTGCCTCTGTCTCCTTAACAATAATTTCTTTCACCGTTTTCAAACACATTTCGTAGAGAAAAATCGCTTAAGATTTAGATTTCACTGTCCCTGTGGGATTTAACCTCAGTTAAGCCTCTACAGATTTCTTCCCATTCGGGACTTATAGAACAATGTGGTCTTTTGTGAATTTTTCTGAGTTCTCTCCTTGATGCCTTCTGTTCACCGCTGCTTTCTCTTAACACACCCATACGGAACAATCTCCCCAGGGTCCGGGTCCCCTTGATGAGTACCACCTTTAAGCCCAACTGCTCCAGGTCATCCCTGACTCAGCCTTCCCCAAAAGGAGATCATTTAACTTCCCTAGAGGTCAACACTCCATCCCTCTTGCCTACGTGCTTGGTGAGCAGTCATACAAGCCTTACCCTTTGCATCCCTGCCTCCTCTCACCGCCAGCATCCTCCCAGAAGGCAAAGCTGGTCTCATGGGAAGGTTCCTCTCCATCGCATCAGTATACTTTCCCTGTGCTCCCGGTCTTGGCAAGGTCACGCCTGGACCAATGACTACTAGCCATTCTTCCTGGCAAGCTTGGCTAAATCCCCTCAGCACCACCGGCAGTGACCTTGAGTAGAGACGCCTTGGCTTAGAAAATTTAACATTGGCACACCATGAATGGGCACCCAGAGGCTTAAGAGAACCAGGATAGGAATCCTTGAGACAAGACTGCTTCACATCCTGGCTGTGGGTACCTTGAACTTCTTCACAGCCTTGAACTGTCTCACAACTTGATCATGTGCATTGCCTCCCAGCCCTTCCTTGGGTTAACTGCTAGTCCCTCAGCCCTACACAGTGCAAAGTTACCTCCTCTCAAAGGAACTCTCTGACATGCTCCTACCTGCACATCCAAGGTTGTGTTAGAGTCTGTACAGGTTGTCTATAGATGCCGTTAATAGATTGCCATAAACCATGAGGCTCACAGCAACAATAGGTCATTCTCTTATAGCCCTGAAGGCTGAAAACTGGGTCCATAGGGACAAACTGTGCTTCCCCTGAAGGCTCCAGGGAAGGGTCCTTTCCTCTGACTCTCAGATGTTGGGTGTGCTGGAAATCCTTCGTTTTCTTGACTTCGTGGCCACCTGGCTCAGACTTTGCCTCCATCTTCCCACAGCTGTCTTTCTCATGGGCTTATGCCTCCAAATCCTTTAGCCCTCATAAAGATACTAGGGCTAGGGACTACCCTCCTCCCGTGTGATCTCCCCTTAACACAGCCATATCTTCAAAGACCCTGCTTTCCAATGAGGTCATACTCAAACCATCAAGGGTTAGGCCTGGAGCATCTTTTAGTAGATGGGAGCAAGGCAACTCACAGTCCTGTCCCAGACAAGTGTGATGGCGTATACTGTTGTGCCTGTCAATCAGCCTGACTCCTAACATCCATCTCTCTTCCTGGAACTTGGTACCAATGATGTCTGGTCAGGTGAAGATACCAAGTAGACACCACACAAGTATAGTACTTATACTCTGATATCTGTGAAGGAGAAACCAGAACATACCTTGCCCAGACAGTTTGATCATGTCCCACTGATGCTTCAAAGCCATCTTACTTCATTTCAAAGATCATCTAATGATGAAAACGTGCTTTGCCAAATTGAGGAACATGGCCACAGTGTGTACCTGTTGCCACTCTCAGAATGAGTCCGGTTTCCAACCTTCCACCCTGGTCTGGCTGATGAAATCATTGGAATGTTTACCTAGCAACCAGGCGGTGAATAGCCACCTCAAGATCGCTTCTTGCCAGTATTAATTTGGGGTTAACATCTGAGACTCATTTGACAAGTACAATGAGTTTCATGAGAATTGTTTAAAAGCTTCCTGCTGGGAACAGTTAGACCTGAGTGTGTGTGTGTTGGGGGGGACTCTAAGTACTTCCTGGAGTTGGAAGATTTCTTCCCAAGCTGTCCCTACTTTCTTGTGTTTCACTTGCTGTGATGATGTTGGTCACTTACTACTAAGCAGTAAGTCCCTATGAAAGTTCCTCAAGAGGGCTACAGAGATGTCTCAGAGGTTAAGAGCATGGACCACTCTTGCAAATGACCTGAGGGGGTTCTTAGCACCGACAGCAGGGGGATCACAACCACTGGTAACTCTAGCTCCAGGGTGTCTAACGCCCTCTTCTGGACTCTGGAGGCTTGTGTTCACTGTGCACAGACTTACACAGATACACATAATTTTAAAAAGTAAAAATAAATCCATTTAAAAGTTTCTTAGGACTAAATACCGTCAGGTAACATCATAATGTTAAACAATTTAATCTCCCTAGTTCCAGCTTTTATACCCTACTCTAGCTCAAGCTCATCTATATGACAGACATTCCATCTACTGCAATAGCTATTATGGTTGGCTTTTATACAATCAAGTAAACTATCTTTGACCCTAAGATACGGAGAATATTTTCTTGTGATTTATAGGTGACTCAATTTGAAGTGGCTTCCACAGTTATTCCCCGTTATCTGGGAAGGGAAGTAGTCCATGACACAGCTGGAATATTAGAATTGCAGATGGTATCTGCTATCTACATACTATGCCTTCCCTATACTGGGAGACCTAGGACAAAGTGCAATTTAAAAATCAGTCAGAATATGAGATTGGCAGCAGTAACCAGTGATAAAGCATGAACGATCACGATAAAATGCTATAGTAAAACTCTCTCTCTCTCTCTCTCTCTCTCTCTCTCTCTCTGTGTGTGTGTGTGTGTGTGTGTGTGTGTGTGTGTGTGTGTGTTTTGCATATGCCCATGTGTGTATTGGTACACATGCCTATATATGTTGCTGGAAGTCAAAGGAGGGCTCTCTATAACTTTCTACCTTATTTTTTTTTTCTTTTTGGTTTTTTGATAGAGGGTTTCTTTGTGTAACTGCCCTGGCTCTCCTTGAACTCCTTCTGGAAACCAGGCTGGCCTCAAGCTCACAGAGATCCACCTGCTTCTACTTCCTGAATACTGGGATTGAAGGTGTGTGCCACCACTTCCCCTGCCCACCTACCTTACTCTTTTAAGGGAGGGTCTCTAGTTGAACCTGGATCTTGTCATTTTCCAGCTAGACTGGAGCCAGCAAGCCCCAGAGATCCTCCTGTCTCGAACCCGCTCAGTGTCGGGGCTGCAGGTCTGTAGGGACAATGCCCAGCTTGTGACAATGGGTACTGGGATCTGCTCTCCAGTTTTCACAGGCTCAGTAAGGGCTCTCGCCACTGAGTCAGCACTCAGCTTAACTCTGGATTCTTTTTTGCTTTTTTAATGTAGGTTCTGGGGAATCGAACTCAGGTCCTCATGGTTATGCCGCAGCCACTTCACCCACGGAGTCATCTCCTCGGTGCTTGTAATGCACAACTTCTAAAACACGAGTTGCTTACTTGTGTAATTCGCCACTTGATACTCTCAGACTATGGTCGGTGACGGGAAACAAGCCATACTCAAGTGAAGCCACAGGTGAAGGGAGACGATTGTGGCCAACCACAGAGTGATGTGCTGTTTAAGCCGTGCTAGAAGCTAGTAACGTACTGCAGAAGTGACTGAACTGAAACCCCTGGGCTGAGATGATCCTGGCACACATGAGTCACCACTCAAGCATGAGCGATGCAATGGCCAAGGCCAAAGGGGCGATCTGGCCAGCTGCATAATTCAGGACCTTATATGAAACGGGTCATTTGGGACGGGGACAGCTTTATGTTCTGGGATGAGGCTTCCACAGCGTGGTCATTATCTTGATGAGCAGTGCCTTTGTACGCAGTTAGTCCACGTGAATGTCACTGGCTGAACCCGAGGCGTAGCACCATCAGGTCACAGTGGCTGAGTCGGATGGAGGGCTGACCTCGAGGCAGATGTTGGCGAGGCACCGTCCACATACTTTGTCAATTACGGAATAGAATAAAGACGTTTTAAAAAGCCTGCGGATTTTTCAGACCTACGGAATATAATTAAGCAAGACCCTCAGAGTGTGAGGCACAGTCCCTTGGAAATCTGAGGCAGTGGCTAAGTGGCAGGAATGTGAGTCTCCTCTGGAGGAGGCAGCACAGGGGCACAGTCCTCGACTGTGAAGACCACCCAGCTTGGTAAGACATGCACAAATCCCACATTCCTGGTGAAGCTTGCTCACAATCAGAGCAGCAGCTCCACCACCCCAGCCTTGGAGAAGCACAGGACCAGAAGAACATAGATACATGGCACACATGGCACGCAGAAGTCCCTGTCCCTGAAGAGTCCATAGCCTAATGGGGAGAGGGATGTGACATGTGACTCTTTAAAAATTCGTCGTAGACATACAGAAGGCAACATTTCCCACCTCTTTCATTTTTAAGCATGAGATTTGGTGACATTAAGAGCAGTCGTGCTGCGACACAGCGGTCACCACCGTTCAGTTCCTAGAACGTCTCATCTTGCAGAACTGAAGGTATCCTTGCATGATATAAACGCCCTGTGGACACCCCTCCTGTCCCTGGCTCCTAGCCTTTTACCTTTATGAGTCCCCAGCCCTAGGAACGACACCTGAGGTCTCATTCATGTGATATACATCCTCCGGGTTATCCATGTGTTAGGATTCCTGCTCTTTGAAAGCTGAGTAGCATCCTGTCGTACAGATAGATGCCAATCTGCCTATCTATTCATCTATTAGCTGGTACCTGGGATGCCTCTGTATTGTGGCTACATGAGTAACGCCGAATACAGCAGATGCACAAATACCTGAGTCCTGGCTTCTTGTTCTTTCTTGCAACTTCACCTTGGCCTTTCATTCTGTGACTCTGACGTGATCTTACCCAATATGTTCTTAGGCCAACTGTAGTTCTTTCAAATGTGGAGACCAGGGGACAATCTTGATCACCATTCCTTAGACTTCAGCCAGCCTTCATTTCTAACATTGTCATTGGCTTATAATTCACTAATGTAAGGTAGATTGGCTGTCCAGCCCGCCCAAAGGAATCTCCAGCCTTTGCCTCCCCAGCATTGGGATTACATCCTGAACGACTGTGCCCAGCTTTATTATGCTGGGTTTTGTGGGTTGAACTCAGGTCTTGCCATCTCCACAGCCCTACAGTATCTTCTTGAGAAGTCTGTAGGGAGGGAGGCAGATACATAGACCATATTAGCAGCCGCATGAAAGTCACCGTTTTAAAAAAAGTTATCTTTTCCTTCTAGGCTACTGCCTGCGTGGAGTGAGGGGGAAAGAGGAAGTAGGTTAAGGCCCTGATTGACAGTGGCAGCTGGCTGCAATTGAACATAGGCGATCAGTGTTGTGTGGTCCACACTCCTTCAGAAGGGATCTGGAGATTAAAGAGAAGGGGAGACTTCTTTCTCTGTGAGTCATCTACAGAGTTAGTGAGCAGCCCCACTCAGAGAAAGCAGGGCCCAGGTGTGGGTACTAAACATCCTGCCCCTCCTAGGAATCTAAGTGGAGAACCATGACTCATGGAGTAGGAAGGCTTGGTGGAAGAAGAGCCTCTTTGTTCCTCTGGCCCTATCTAGGAAGAGTCCAGGTAGGCAGCAAGGACACTAGGTTCCAGACCCCACTCAGCTCTACCCTAAACAGGTTGGCATCTCTCAAGGACTCAATGCCCCATCTCTTCCTGGGCTGCAGAATGGTGCCCTGTTCTCTCATGGAGTCCTGTCCTAACATGGCTGGGATGCAAAGTGTTGAGAACGTGTGAGCCAAGGTGCATGGGAGAGGGTGGCAGTCACCACTTGAACTTTGTCCTTTTATTAAGAAGAAACTGACTTAATTTGCACTTGAGCTTCTTAAAACTATGCTTTCTTCTTCATCAAGCTTCCTGAACACAAATCATTATTATACCATATTGAAGTCATTCAGCCATTTGATTTCAGGGGAAGTCATTATCCAGATGGCTATTATAATGGTCAGTCCTGTCCCTTTAAGAGACAAGCCCCGCCCACCCCCTCCCCCATCCACCACAGAGACAGGCAGATTTTCCTTCTGCTTTCAGACTGAGCTTCTTCCTTTCCAGGTCTCTCCCAAAGAGGCAGCTTCTGCCTTGCTCCCTTCTTCCCTCCCCTTCTGTTTCTCCTCTCTTTCTCTCGGCCTCTCTCTGCTCTTCCTCCTTCTCCCCTTTTCCTCTTTCCCTTCCCTTCCATAATCCACTAAATAAATATCCAACCTCACTCTGCATGGTGTGCCTATCCATCTTTGTCTCTCACCCACCACATGTTCCTATGGGACTGGCTGCCCTGCCAAGGTCTCTTACCCACCATGTGGCTCCCTGCCTAGAACCCACTGGCCCTCATGGCTTGCGGGCACTCGGGGGCTCCCTGCCTGGGACTGGCTGCCCTCATGGTCCGCCTTGGTCTCGTGTCCACTGCCCACTGCCGCCACTCAGGGGAACCTACAGCGTTTCTGCTGTTGTGCCCCTTGGGGATCTGCAGCATTTTACTTTTACCCTAACAGCTATTACAAAACACTGGAGACAATGGTGACTAAGTAGAGGACGCCTCCTTCCCAGCTTCAGCCTGAGTGACATGCAGCCTGTCATAGGATCCCAGTTGCCCAGATCATTAAGCAAGGGCACGCAACTTTCTAGAGGATAAACAAGGGTGATTAGATTCTAGTTCAAAGCTAGAGGATGAACAAACACATGAACAGAAAATAGGACAGT